CGGCGCTAATGATATTCTCTTGGCCACTGTGAGATGTCAGGGCTGCGCTCTTCACGTGCGCTCGAGAATTGAGACAGGATAATCTCGGCGCAAGAAGTTATTACATCGCCACTGGCGCTCTCCATAGCCACATTCGGGCCACTAATTGACTCATTTATCTCCACAAAACGTTTAATCATGGTTTTGTCCTTTGATATAGGTGAAAAAAGGTGAATAAATTATTAAAGTTTTACTGGATTATTATTTTTTTTTAATTTTTTCTCCAATTTAATTTTGAAATGTAATTTACAATTCTTTGAATTGACGATTTTAATTCTAAAATTTAATTTAATATCCTAAAATAAGGACTAGGGGAAAAAGAACACGTGGTTTGATTCAACGATAGCAACTTTAAGAAATTTTTAGGTTGAAAAAAATTAGTAAGAATAATTATCTGAATTGAATGAAAATTAATGAAATCTTTTGACTGATCCAAATTTTCTGAAAACTTGTTTTTATTGCGTTTTTTCAATTTAATTAAATTATTTGCTTTTTCTTCACAAAATTCATATTTAACATTAAATTGGAAGAATAAAGTCGAATCCTTAGTTTTAAACTTTTTGAAGAATCCAATATTTTGAATATTTTTTCCTCAGTTTCCTTCCAAATTAAATTAATAATCAAATTGATTTAAAATTAAAACATACATATCGCAATTTTGGTATCCACATCAGAATTTAATTTCTTCCTCAGTGCAATTAATTAAAAAAAAAAAAGAAGCAAATAAGCGATTTGTCATAAGTTTTTTGTAGAAGGTTGAAAAATGGATTTTTGTCTTTACAGCTCTAATTTTGACTATCTCGATTTAGTTTTGCGTTGGCTGGCGAGAATTTGCAAGTTTTCAGCAGCTCTACTTTCTCTTCCTCTCTCGGCAACCTGCTAATTAGTTTGCAAAGCCGGCCGAAAGAAAAACAAGTCGTGGGCGACTTTCCTTTTCTCTCTCACTCTCGGAGAGCGTGGAAAAGCAGCGCAGAGAGATGTGCAAAATAGTTTCTGCAAATTAGGAAAGCTTGTTTGGAGCTTATGAAGGACGGCCAGGAGCATACCAAGTAGGCAGACGGACAAAGGAAAGTTTGGAGAGAGAAGAAGAAGAACGGCCGAGAATTATTTAGCGTTGGCGCCGGCCGAAGAATAAGCAGCGCCGGAGATGAATGCCTCCCTCTTCTTTTATGTATTTTGTTGTTGCTCGTCCATTGTTGTTGCCTTTCTCTCTTGTCTAGTCTCTTATCGCTGGACAATGAGGAGAAAAAACTAACTAGAAATGTAGAAAAAAAAATCAAAATTCAGAAGTAATGTTTTCGAATTTACAGATTTTTCTTATTTCAAGAGGTGGGGAAAAAATTTTTTCCTTCCCTACAATATTTCAAAGGGCAAAGTTTGCGAAGGGCCATCTTTTTTTCTCTTTCGCTTATTTTTTCCGAACAAAGGATCGCGAGGACAAAGGCGAATTCCGCTCCCGAAGGACCCCTGCTTGCAGCGGAGGAAACGGCATCGGCACATCGCGATATATATTGATGCTTCCCCGCTGGAAACAACATTGCACTGTCACATTTATGACACCTGGCAGCAGCACCGTCCAAATCTGATTTACGCCATTGTTCTGCGAGAAATTGTCAAGCACAGAGATAGAGAGAAAGCTTCGTAGTTTCCGATTCTTCGGCCCCAGAGAAAGGGTATGCAACCTGCGTAGCAAAGCAGTTCTGCGGAAAGCCTAATTCCGAGTTGACGTTTAATTTTATTGGTGATTTGAATTTAAATTCGGCTTTTCCTCGATGGGTTTTTGTGAGTTTTTATTGTTTCAGAAAAAAACAATATCCTGCTCTACATGATTCAGCTGCGGGCTGCAGCCATAATTCATGAGCTGCGAAAACATTTTGACAAAAAATTAGTACAAAAATTACTATAAGAAAATTTGTTTTTTAAAAATATTTTGAATGAAGTGTCAAAGTCAAATTTTGTGTTAAAAATTTTTTTGTGAAGAAATGTTGATTTAAATAATTTTTCACGCAAAATTGTCAATTTGAAAGAAAAATAATTTTTGAAAAAAGATTTATTTTTGTACTAATTTTTTGTCAAAATGTTTTCGCAGCTCATGAATTATGGCTGCATTCCGCAGCCGAAACATGTAGAGCAGGATATTGTTTTTTCTGAAACAATAAACAACTCACAAAAACCCATTGAGGAAAAGCCGATTTTAAATTCAAATCACCATGAATCAACCCTCGATCGTGAAATTCTACCACAAAATTTAATTTTATTATCCAAAATGCAAAAGAAGACGAATAATTTCTTATTAGTGAATCACAATTGATTAATTTGCACTCTGGAGGGTTGAAATTCGAAATAAATTTACCAATATTAATAATAAATTAAGGAAATTAAACTTTATAATTTGTTTCAGATTTTAAGGAAACTCTCTTATTATGATTTTTATTCTTGAATTTGAAACTTCAGAAAATTTAATCAATTATTTAAGTTTTTCCTATGGGATGAAAATGAGTTAATAGAAGTCTCAACTTTTCCCGGGACAAAATAATTTTTATTAAATATTAAAATTTTAATCATTCTTGTTTTATTTTGCCTACATTCAATTTTTCATCGATCATTCTCGTTTGTTTTTAGCCAGATTTAGTTTGTTTGGAACGCAGTGCAAGAATCTCGCAGTTTCCCGCGGGCGAATAATTAAAAGCAGCTCAATAAACAGCCGGGTTGATATAGGAAGCATAAATTATTCATATCGAACTAATGAGATGCCATCAAGGCGCGCAGTGGCGGCTGGGATTTATTAAAATTAAAGCCGATTGCCAACGTGTACCTTTAAATAAATCATTACGCCGGCGGCGAACAAATATATATAAACCCAGAAAGTGATTGAAGTCGTAAAAAGCAAGAGCGCGCGCGCCTCCCTGATATAAACTCTTTTGCGGTGCAATTTGAAATTCAGGAGCATTAATAATCTTTTCCCCGGTTTAGTTTTGAAGGTGCCGCGAGCATTATGTATTTAGAATTCGCGACGGCACTCGTCGTATTTGTTTTAATAGCCTCACAAAAAAAATCACATGTATACAAATGGATATAAAATTCTTTTATATAATTCACCGCACAATCATGATCATAAATTAACATTCATTAAAAAAGCTTTTTCTTTTGGTTGACTCGGAAGAATTCTGGCCCCTCAGAGAAAATAAAATTTAATTTACTTTAGAGATTTTGAATATTTATGGACAATTATAAGACTTTTTTGTTTAAAATTTTCAGGCCAAATTTTCATTTTGTTTTTAATATAAGCAAAAAATTACATTTTCACAAAAAGGAATTTAGATTTTGGATAAAAATTCATTGTTTATTTGAATTAAAAGAGCAATCCAAATATTGATAAATTTTAGAGAAAAATTAACTTTAAACTGTCTTTTAATTTAATTTTTATTAAAAATAGAATTTGAAAGCGAAAAAAGGGCTTTTTGTGTGAAAATAAATTTACTTTGATTTCATTTTTGAACCAATTTTGGAATCTGCATATTTTTTTTAGATCTCTCCCTTGCCCCAAAAAGTTTATGATCCAAATCGGCAGATTCGCTCAATTAAACTGCTCAAACTAAAATATCTGTCTCATTTACAGAAAATATTACGCTTCCATCTCTGCCAAATTTCAGTTTCGAAGAATAATTTGCCGCTCGGTAAGTTGCTTGTGCGGTCGAACAAGCAGTCGGTCTTGTTTGACGCGCGAAAAAGGCCCGGGTCGTCCCAAAGTTGGTCCCGCTGAAGGGCGAAAGCAAGGGTGCGAGTTTGTCTCTCTCGCTTGTCAACAAATGCAAATGTGGAGCAACTGCTGCAGGGCCAGCTGTGGTATTACTTTTACGCAACGTGTAACACAGAGCACGTCAGATATTTAACTTTTGGAATAAGGAGGGGAGGCTCGGCCTGAACCACCAACTTTGTACCTACTTCTTGAAGGAAATGCAAAATAACTTGCAAGAGAAGAAGCTGCGGAATTTACTTATACCATATTTTTTTTTTTTTAATTTACAAAAGGAAAACTGAATTGGATTATAAATTTAATCGAATATTTTAATTAGATCAAAAATATTCCAATTTTGATGCTTGGGCATTCATTGTTAATTAAGCTAATTTTATTCTAATAATAATTTTCAATAAAAAAACATTTCTTTAATAAATTAAAATTAAAAAAAACTTGCGCTTTTTTAATTATACCAGAATTTAAATCATTTTATTTATTGGAAATGAAGAATGAAAAGCCTAAATTCTTCATTTCTAAAATAGTCTCCTCGAGTGTCAACTTCTTCAAATAAATTTAAATTATTCACCTTTTTTTTTTTAAATATTTTCAAAACAAATTTTTTTATACTTATAAAATAGCAAAATAAAAATACAAATCTGCTTTGAATTCAACATTTATTCAGAAAATATCTGCACCTCTCCTCTTCCGCTGGCCAAGAGATACATTTTTGTTTGTCGATCTTCTCAACAATTATCAAGAACCACCGCAACAAGATTAGCACCCTTTTTTTGATTGATACATGTACATGTTGTCCGTGATACACAAACTACAATATAACTTTGAATATTTCTAATACATTGGTGTGATGATGATTTTCAAGGAAGGGTCACCAACAATTTAACCCAAGCACGAGTGGTGAAATTTTAAGGCACGAGTGATTTATAAGTTACACGCAAGATTAATTAATTTTGAACCTTCCTTTCTCGGCTCTTACAATAAACGTTCGAAAAACACACTTAAACATTTGCTCTGTGGAATGGTCAATTTATTATTACAGGTGATATAAGGTTTTCTTTGGCTGACTAGAGGAATGGCATCGTTATTTTAGGTGCCAATGAATTTTGCAGCAAAATTTGTTAATTTGAGGAAACCGAGAAGTCTTAATTTCACAATATACTGGGCTAAAAACTGAGTCAAGCAAACATATTCTGGTGCTGAAGAGAACACAAAAATTCATTTAAAATAAAAAAAAAATTGCATTTCCAGTATAGAGGAAAAAAGATTCCGGTTATAGTTTTCTGCCAATTTTTCTCATTTTTTTTTTGCATTACAAGTCAAAAATGCATTTCGTGGAGGTACCACCTTGATGAATACATTATGCAAATTGACCAGACTCCACATTTGTATATTTTCGCACAGGATTGATCTGAAAACGACTTAAATTAGAATGCATAGTTCTGATTGTGTGAACAACGGTTTCCTTAAATGACGATAAACTCTATAGCGCAGAAATGACATATTTTTAGCAACTAACAAAATACTCTGTTGTATGCATAAACTCTGTAATATATGATACAAATCTATTTATATAATAGTATTTAATCTGGAGCCTAAGCTTTATGTTGGCACTTGAAACTGGCTGATTCGCAAACTACACTCGTGTGGTCTCTGACTTAGCCGCGGGCTAAACCATCATGTCAATGTCTTCGATCAGACTGTGCACTGGACTGGACACGTTCGGAGAGGAAAGCATCGGGTCGCCGTTGACTGGATGAAGGTCGTCCTCCATAAGGTCCTCCATCTGAGTTGCGCTCAGGGTGGCCGCCTCGGTCACCACGTCTGGCATCTGCAAAAAACAAAAATCATGAACAAACCCATTCATTTCTCAACAAAAAAAAAACTGGTTTGAATCGGTCGAGTGCAAATTTAATTGGCAAAAAAATACTTATAATTTATATCTGATTATGTTCTTTGAACAAACATAACTTGTTCTGCAGGTGAAGTAAAAAAAATATATTGATTTTTTCTCGAGGCAAATAAAGAATCTCTTATTGATTTGCAAGTTTAAACGAGGTAAGTGGTAAAACAAAATTGGCTCAATAAATTTGATCAAATTGCCTAATTAGCATAAAAAATCATGCAAAAAAACTGAAGTGATGAATTTTTTAGCAACGAGAACAACAAAATTGAAAAAAATCTTTAAAAAAATTACAATTTTATATTTTTCTTAATTAATTATACATAAAATTTTTTACCATTTTTAGAATTAATTACAATGGAAATGAAGAGATTGGGCTTTCCCTTGTGGCGAAAATTGTTTTTATTCAAAAACAAATTTGGTGTTTTTTTTTTTTCAATTTTGCTGATTTTTTTCTTGCATTCTGTGACCGAAACTGGTAGAGCCATTTGTTTTTGAATAAAACAATTTTTACAACGAAGAAAAGCCCGATCTCTTTATTTCCTTGATCATCTCTTCAAGTGTCAATTTCTTCAAACAAATTAATTAACAATCAATTTAATTAATTTTGCTTCTTTTTATGTTAAAATTGTAGCAAAAAAGAAGATTTTTTTCATTTTTATCAGAGTTTTTAAAAGGAATTTTGATTTTTTTTTATGCATTCCACCCTCATTATTATTCTAATCAATTTTCAAAAAATTAATCACTTGGATTTGCTGAGGCACCGCGTTGCTGAGGGTAATGAGACTTCTTCCATCTTCCATTTTGATGTAATTGTTCGACATGGACGGGAGCGGCTCCGGATTTTGCCAGTCGGCTTCGGGCGCCAAAAGTCCGTGTTGCTTGGCCTGCATCTCGAGCTCCTGTCGTCACACAATCAAGTCATTAGTCAGCAATTACGCTAAATAACAAAGAAGGCGTTTTACTCTTATCCGAATGAGGAGCCTTCGGTTTTTCTGCTCGGTCTGCTTGTTTATCTCCTCAATTTGCTTTAACCTTTCGTTCTCCTGCTTGAGGCACTTGATGAAGTCCACGGACGACTTCAGAATGGTTCCCTTATTAGGCCTGGCGTCTCTGATAACCTCAAAGTACCTGCGGGGATAACAAAAAATAAGTAAGGATCTCAAAGCACTAAGTGGTGTGCAACTATTTTTTTTTAAACACATTTAAATTCCGCAAATTTTCCGCGCGGTGACAGATATGGGCGGTAAATTTGGGCCCAATCAAACCGCAAACGGCAACATTTAAAAGTCAATTAGAGGCACAGAAACTGCTTCTTGTTGCGTCTAATTAAATTGGGCCTGGTGTGAATCCAGTAAATAAGCCCATCTTTATGCCGGCCGCCGATCTGGCTGGAGATATAAAACTGCCCGAGTGTCCATTAGCCGGGCACAAAAAAAGGATAACTTTCTGGTCGAGGCCGTGAAAAGTGTTTTTTTGCCCGCACGGAATTATTTTAATCAGGACCACCTTCGCTCTTTTTTTTGTGCTAATGGAACACATCGGAGCAACACGCAAAAAGTTGTCTCTCTACTTACGGGTCATTATTTTTCGGTAGAAGGGTACCGAGCTCCTTAATTCTGTCGTTGATGTTGAATCGTCGCCGTCGCTCGACTGGAATTAAAGGAATGGATTAGCCTGCGAGATCGACAACAAAAATGCAAAATTGAAAGGCACTCTCGAAACGAGATCCTGGACAATTAAAATCAGATCTCTATGTATGTATTTGTGACAAATGATCACCCAGCTCGCACCGTTTGATCCGATTTGGAGTTGATTTATGACTTTTGATTGCTGGGCGTACAACAAAATAAGAGAGAGCAACAATTGATTTTTTTTTATGCTCTCAAGCGGTTCAAGATTTTTTACTCGAAGTGGAGGAGCAGGTTTTGAATCAGGCACATCTTGAAATTTAAAAAAGCGGCTGATTTAATTAATTTTTTGCGGTGGGCAGTAAATTTGGAATGAAGACCACCTAATTGATATGGATAAGTTAAATTAATAGACCGTTTGGTTTTTTAATTAATTTTGGCAGCTCTTCAGCAGTCCCATTTGACCAGTTTGAGAAATTGACAATTTTGATGTTAATGAGGTTGAAAAATTCTGCTGTTTCGGACGTGTGAGCCGAGACCAATAAAAAACGAAACAGACTCAATTAAATTGGAAAAAAGAAGCACTCATTGAAAGCCTCCGTCTGGCAACAAAATTGCAAACTATATTACACAAAGTATAACATCTGAAAGGTATTTATGAAATTGCTAATAATTTAAACAACCGGTTTCGAACTGATTTCTCTGGTGCGCAGAAATATTTCGAGTCCAAATTTCTCCCCCTTTCAGCGACCAACGCCCATAAGGCCCCTGATTATTTTAGAAGAATTTATTATTATTGTTGTTGGTTTTTCTGTTCAAATTTTTTTTTTCATTCATCTGCATAGTCTATGGCATGTCGAGCTCTATTCCGTGCTTATCGGCTGGAAATACTAAACGAAATAAATTAGACAGGCTGGATTTTATCAAACGCCCCCATTACGACGCGAGCAGGCAAGCCTAACACTCGAACAGCTCCGCTATTTACAATGAATTATTGAAAAAAAAAAATAGCATATTACTAAGTCGTGAATTCAAACCTACACAAATTGGCAACTTGATTTTCTATGAAAATTTATAAGAGCATGATTTTGTTACTAATAAAATAAAATTGCTTTCAGCAAAATATAAAAAGGCCCAGCTCTAAAGATATTTTAAAGTTTAGACTCAAAAAAAGTTTGAGAAGATATTAAAAAAAAAATTTAAAATGTTTCTAAATCTCAGAAAAGAAATTTCTATGTATAAAAAAACTCATATTTTGAAACAATAACAAGAAATTCATGAAGATCATGAAACTTGCCTAAATGAATTTTGGATTGAAATAAATAAAATTCTAGAAAAAAATCAAGGAAATTTGTGTGAATTATTAATTTGCTGTGATTTGAAATCAAAATAGGCTTTTCCTCGATGAGTTTTGTGAGTTATGAATTCTTTAACAATAACAAAAAAAATCCTGCTCTACTTGTTTCGGCTGCGTAATCATTTTGGCAAAAATTAGTGTAAAATCAAATTTTTCAAAAATAATTTTCTTTCAAATGAACACTTTTTCTTGAAAAATTATTCAATTCAAAGCTACATTTTGCTCCAAACAATTTTTATTTTAACTGTCAAATTTTTGTGCTAAAAAATGAAGCTTTGAATAATTTTTCACGAAAAAGTGTTGATTTGAAATGAAAATATTTTTAAAAGATTGATTTTTTTGAACTAATTCTTGTCAAAATGATTTCACAGCCAAAATATTGTTTTTTCTTAAACAAAACCCATCAAATAAAAGCCAATTTTAAATTCAAATTGCCATGAATCAACCCTCGATCGTAAATTTCTACCACAACATTATTTTGTTATCTTTGCTTTTATTTTAAAAACTTTTGAATATTTACTTTTTCACACTTTTTCACAGAATTTAAAGACAATTAAATGTTTCTGAATAAATCAATGAATACTATGTGATTGCAAAGCAAATATAGAATATTTAGAAACGACTATTTTGGCAAATGGATTAAAATTTAATAAGAGAAAGTTCGTCTGTAATGGTGCAAATCAAGACGCCATTGCTGTCCGCCAAACGATTACATTTTTTACGCCATTTTGTCCAAAAAGTGTCGCTGAAAAACTGGTCGCCGATTTATATAATTATGTAAATGGCCGGCCTACACTTTGCCGACTTTGCTGACGTTTATGGCGTGTCGCGCAAGTAAAAAACGCGAAAATTTTTGCACACCGGGCATTAGTGGGCAGGCTGGGCAAATAAAGCAATTTGTCAACGGCGCCGCCCGTGAGTTTGCGCGCGAGGAGAGGTGCTGCCAATTAAAAAGCAAATTTATTCACCACACGCGCCGCGCGACACGCATGTCCTCCTCTCTCGCTCGCTCTATAGCCGGACAGGATTATAAATAATATTCGCAAGTCGTAAAACTGACACTCGAGATGGCCACCGAGAGCCCCTCTGGGCGCCAAATAATCAAATCCTAATCCCCCAATCAATTTGACAGGTGTGCGGCCGTAAAAAATCACTTTGCGCCGCCAACGAGTATCAGATAAGCGCCGACAATAAAAAATAAATAAAAACTCTCTCTCAGCACCTCGAATAAAAAAAATTAAAATAAAAAATGGATTACTTTATAAAAAGAAAACTCACTCATGTTGTGGTTGTCTTTCTTCTGCCTGTCACGGATGATCGCGTGCACCTCGTTGTCGCAAATCTGGCCAGACTCGACTTTGATCTGCGGTAAGTCCGGGGGACACGAAGACGACGACGACGTCGTGGCAGTCGCGGCTCCGAAGACCTCGCTGAAGGTCTGGTACTGGCCGTAGAGACCGGTGCCGCCGCCGCTGCCGGCACCCAGGGCCTCCACGAATGCCTGCAAAAAAAATGCCACCTCCGGGTGAGAAAAAATTGCAAAAACTGCGGTTTCGGTTGGGAGAAAAAATGCTCTTTTTCCACCGCAGAAAATGACAGATTTGCAAGGGCGTAATTTATTTTAACATCAAAATTCGATCTTTTTCTTCCGCATCATCAGGTTGAATTAACGAAAGTGTCTCGCAGAAATGAGAATTGCTACCTAAAAAATTTAAGGAAAAAAAATAACGAAGCAAATTTATCCCGTTTTGATGGAAACCACAAATATTTTATACGTCTTTTTTTTGTAAAAAATGTTAAAAATAGCATCGTTCAAATAAAAAATAGATTAATTAACGGATTTGCAATAAGATTTTTATTTCTGTTTTATTTGTAAACATTTATTTATTGATGGTAATAATTTTTAAGTACCACTCCAAATGAGATTGATTTTAGAACTTAAATTCTCCTTGCCTTCTTCTCTAAATGAAGTTGCTCCGATGAACATCTGATTAACCTTTTATTGCAAAAAATAAATTCGTTTGAAAGGTTGAGATGCAGATTCTGATTTCACGAATGAAGAAAATAACTGGCGAACGAGTTTTCCTTTTCAGGAATAATCAATAAAGAAATCGTTTCTTTTCTCCGATGGTAATTGAAACCAGAAGGCCTGATTTACAAAGATTAAAACTAGACTGGGTGAGAAAAATTCTGTTTGGTTTTTTATTTAAATCTTTTCATTTGTGATTGGTCTTTTTTGATATTTTTTCTGGACCTTTCATTTTTTTCCGCAGAATTTTTATTTTATTTCCACTTTAACTGTTCGACCAGTAATAAGAAATTTTTTTAACAAAAACTGTATAAAATTCAACTTCAAAATTCATAAATTTAACAACAAAAATAAATTTAAACATTCTTCATTATGTAAGTGAAGAGATCTGATTTTTTCTAGTTACAAAATTGGTTTTTATTCAAAAACTAGACGGTTGTTTTGTTTTTGAATAAATTTTTGCGAAGAAAATTCCATGATCTTCTCCTTAAGTGACGATTTCTTCAAACAAATCCTTCATTATGTTTATTTATTTATTCTCCATTTAAAAACAATGAAATACACAACTTCTTACATCAACTCAATCACAAAAATTAAACAATGTTTCACTTTTATAGAATTTAAAAAATGCTTTGTCAAAAAGGATTAAAAATTGACAAACTTGAATTTCTAACCAGTCAAATCAAAGCCCACTTTTTTCATCTTGGAAATTAATATTCGATTTCGAACTCACTGCCGCTGCTCTTAAATGAATACAAGCTTTAAAAATGCAAACCTAATCACTTTTTACTCGGATTGAAATTTAATTCCAAAGCTTCAACCCACAACGATTATAAAAAATCTGCATCTCTGCCTCTCATCAGTGCAAGTTTCTCATTTTCAAGGCCAGACAGGCGCGTTTTGAAACCGGTGGGATTTGTTTCTTGTACACATAAATAAAATATATATATAAAAGAAAAGCAAAAGGAGTCTGGACAGGTGTGCACTTTCCCGCACCTCAAGAATTTTAATTGATCGCGCCGCCAAATGGTCAGAAATGATTCGATTATGAGAATAAACAGGCTGCGATCATAATTGAGTGAGACGCGCGGCGGGTCACCTACCTGTGGGTCGATTTCATTTTTGAGTTGATTGTCCGAAGGCAAGGAAGCTTCACCGAGTGACAACCAGTCGTCCATTAACTCTTCACCCTGCAACAAAAACAAAACAAGAAGTTGACACTTGGGTATAATAATAATAATTGTATGTATAATCTGAGAGTGGCCGCTACGTTTATTTGCATTAGAAAAGGAAAAGAGGTGTTTTCTTCGACGCACTTTCAAAACAGATTTATGTTCTCCTCCAGTGGCAAGGATGACGACTTTAAGAGGCACTTTATCTCTCATAATAAAAATTTTAATCGTTTCGCAGGTGCGGAGAGAATTGACATCTCGCCGTTCGAAACGTGCGCAATTCATTTTTCCTCGCTCGATTAATTTGCAAAGCAGACACATCTTGAGCTTATTTTTCTCCATTTCAGCGTTTCAACTGGAGTTTGGGTCGCCGTTATTGATCAGAAATCCATAAATGAGAAATTGAAAGGTCAGAAATTCTTTCAGATAAAATATTAAGTAAGTTAATGTGGAAAAATTAACAAAAATTATACATCGGATTTTGTTGAGAAAATATCAAATCTCGATTTGGAAACATAATTAGTTTGTTCAAAAAGCTAATCCAAACCATTACCATCAGGTAAAAGTGCAAAATGCATCCAACTTTATTATTATTTTTAACTTGGACGTTGAAATGTTGAAACTAAGTTAAAATTATTTAAAAAAATATATATATACACATATCTTAAAACATTTAAAGAACCACTCCGGTCATTTGAATTGCCCTTTATTCTGAAAGATTGCTGAATTTCGAGTATGTCTTGTGAAAACACTATGTGAAAATTCTAAACCATTGCGTCGCAATCAAAAGAAAACCTAGAAAAACATGTGAGAATTGAGTAGCCAATCAGATCCATCAGTTTTGTTCAAAAACTACAGAATTTGGTCACATTGGCGCTGCGATCGCTGATTTTGCCAAGTTTTCTGCAGCGCCGTGAGGCATTAGTGGCAAAATCAGCGATCACAGCGCCAATGTGACCAAATTCGGTAGTTTTTGAACAAACTGATGGATCTGATTGGCTGCTCAATTCTCACACGTTTTTCGCGCGAATCACTCTTATTTAGGTTTTCTTTTGGTTGAGACGCAACGGTTTGGAATTTCCACATGTTTTCACAAGATATTATACTCGAAATTTAGCAATCTTTCAGAATAAAGAGCAATACGAATGACCGGAGTGGATCTTTAATAAATACCAGAAATGAGCATAAAAATTAAAAAAAAAAACATTAATTTAACATTTCATAAAAAGCACAATTTATTTTAGTTACTTCCGAATTTCTTTGCTTAACTTTATTGCAAAGGTGTGTATTTCTGATTATTTTACAGTCAAAGGAATTCTGACGTCTTTTTTTCCGCACCAATAAGGGGATCCCGCGTTTCAAGAGCAATAAAACTATACTACATAGTACGGTTTCGCCACACACGCGGCTCTCTCGCGATGTGTCACTTGTTTCAATAATAAGTGCGTTTGCATAACCCGGCCGATGAGCCGACGATTGCGAGCGACGACGCCAACATTAGCTGCATCTGCTGCTTCAGTTCGCGGCTAATTGTATCAAAGTGTGTGTGTTCTTTAAATTTTTAATGAGACTGGGGTATAATCACTGGCATGTGTACACGCGAGACACATGCAGTAGTTGTGTCTGCAGCGTGTTGATTGCACGAACCAGAGAAAGATGTTGCGAAAACTTCCAATGATGAGGCAAATTTTTATTGGAAAAAAAATCAATTTTTTTCAGTTTTTTCTTCATTTTGCAAAACGAAATGGTTCAGTATAAATGTGAGATCATAAACAATTAGTTTAACATTTTCAAATCTTGATGCAAAACATCTTTAATTCTAATTTCTGAAATATTTTCATATTTTTTTTAGCTAATTTCATAAATATTTTGATACAGTTTAATTCTTTAGATTTAAAACCAATTCTCTTGAGCATAACTTTAAGTATCTTCAAATTTTTAAAAATGAAATTGAAACATACACTTGATTTTAATTCTGTTTAATTTTAAAAACTTGACTTGTTAATAAAAAAAAATGAGCCTAAAATGTCACTTTTTTAAAGCAGAAATTAAATTCAATGAAATTTAAATCTAATTTTGGATTTATTTCAAGTTTTAATACAAGTTTTCAAACATTATTTCTTAATTTCATCAATGATTTTACTTTTATAAAGGAGATTTTTAATAAAATATCCACATTCCATACAAGACAATTTTAATTGACACTTTTCAAGTTAATGAAAGGTTATCTCAATCAGGTGGCGTAATAATTTAAATGAAATTTTATCATAAAAAACCTTTAATTTCAGCTGACAATCTTTTTTTCTCTCCGTGCTTCTTATTTTTGAGTGAGTGGGAAAATTTTTTAAATGAATGTCAAACTGAAAATGTGGTAATCCTTGAAATCCGTGAATGGGAGAGGTGCAACGATAAAAATCATTTTCCACTTTCACGTGAAAACAGGTTTGGAAAACGCCGCGCAAGATTAAACATTTCACGTCACCCTTGGGTATCTGCCCTGCGATCAGGCGCACGCAGCAAGTTGTTCATTATTATTGTCCGCATGCACATGCAGTTGAGCGAAATGCGTGCTCAGACCGTACATCACACATGCGACAGAGATTAATTAAATGTTATATTATATCGATGTATATAAGGGCTGATTCATCTCTGGGCGCAGAGTGTGTGTGTCAGCAAATTGCAGGGAATATAACGAAAAGAGAGCACCGTCTCAATTGGATAATGGAGGCGGCAATTGGCCGCGGTCTCCATTGGTGCAGGTCAAAAACAATCGAGCCGGGGGGTCAAGTGATACGTATCAGCTTACGCACACAAATTGGTTAAATTGTTGGTCACGGCTAATTAACTTGAAAACTGAAAACCACTTGAAATGATTAAAAATAAAAATTAAAAGCTAAAAAAAAATTTAACCCAAACCAAAAAATATTTCTCTTTCAAGTTCAATTTCAAGCAAATTTGCTCATTTTTACTCCTGATTTCAATTTTATTTTTCATGATGAGTAGAATAATTTATTACCAATCTTAGTTAGCGGTGGAGGATATTTTTTCTTTCTCAAATAAAATAAAAATTAAATAAATGTGAATATTGAGGGGGCTAGTTTTCATATTTTTAATAATTAGTTTTTTTTAATGGTCGATTAATTAGGAAAATTATTTTATATCCTTTAGAATTATATTTATTTTTATATTATATAATCTCGCAATTTATAATTTTAAATCTCTCAAATTAGCATGCCAAATTATATAATATAAAAATAAATATAATTCTAAAGGATATAAAATAATTTTCCTAATTAAAAAAAACTAATTATTAAAAATATGAAAACTAGCCCCCTCAATATTCACATAAACCCAATTATAATTATTTTATTATTAATAATATTAATTTATTCTTCTCAGTTGATACAAATCTCTCTTATCAAGGAAAATTATAAAATTTGTCGAATTTCAATTAAAAAATCGTAATCGATGTTGAGTTGATGAAAATTTTTCAAACTCTATATAGTCGATCAGACTTAAAGAAAAATTTTGTTTCAGAAAATCTCAGCAAAATCCTATATAAAATTAGCTCCGTAATTTTTAGTGCAGGAATAAATTGAACTGATTTTTAGCTTTTCAAATTAGATTTTCTAGCTTTCGATTTCTAAACATTGGTTAAATTAAATTGAATTAAATATTAATAACTATTTCCATTTTCTCTCAATCATAATTAAAATTTTCATTACAATAATAACGTGGGCCATAAATTAATCATAATTTTGATGAGATGAATTATGATATTTGATTAGTATTTAAGCTATTGATAAAAAATGAAGTTTAATCACAATCAAATATTATTTGCTGCTTTAATGAATGAATCAAATTATAATCTTGTGATTAACTTAAATATTTTGGCACTTCACGCCGCTGATTCTGAACCGGCTTGAACTTGATCAGCACGTAAAAATTATTAATTAAACAAAATTAAATTGTCAAGTACTCGGCCGAAAATCCAAGCACTGATTGTTTTTTAAGGTCAATGCCTGCAAGTGTGCTGATAATTGTAAACCGTCCGTGCAGCCTTGTGTTATCGTCCTCCTCGCCCTAGCTGATATCAAATTTACATATTCATGCAGAGAGTGTGCTGGGATGACTTGCGTACGACTCTGTTGGTGGTATTCGAACTGACACAGAGAGAGAGAGAAAAAAAATAGATTATCTGTTGGTTATCCGAGGATCACCTTAATCACGCAGATTTGCTTCTTGTGAAGGCAAAAACATGCTATAAAGTCTCAGGCCAGTTTGCAATGAATTATTCGATTCGAGAAACCGCGGTTTTGATGAAAGAGTATCAGATTTTAGTAAAATTGAAATTTGTATTTTAATATAATAAAAATCTGCCGACATTGATGAAATTTTACATCAAATCAACGCAAAATTTATTTAATAGAATAAATTTATTTGACAATTTGATCATTTATTCACTGTGAGACGCCTTTTAACAACATAATATGCAGATTCGGATCTAAATTATTCCAGTCAAATAATTATTTTTTGGTATTCACAGCGTTGCGTGCGACACCTGCCACGCGAGAAAGCCACTTTTGAATGAAACACACACGGCGGCCCTTTTGTGTACAACTTTTCGTCGGGCGTGCGACAGCAAAAAGTGGTTTTCACCGAATTTACGCAACGAGAGTGCAACAAGAAAACCGCATTAAGGCGCAACGCACGTAAAACTCCTTAAATCTAAATTTGGAGAGACGATTCGCGAAAGGTGTCGAGCTCACGTATATAAGAATTGAAGTAGCAGAAAAAAAATAGATGTTATTTATACGAGTTCTTCTCATTTCTTATAAAAGGAGCTCCTCGGCTTGCGAGTGTGTTAAAATTCCTGCAACTCGATCTCGCCGTGTTTATCTTTGCGCTCTCGCCGAACGTGAAGAAATATAGAGGATTTATTCGCGACGAGTTGTCTCGATGGAGCTCAGGCTTTCGGTTTCAAATAATCTGACAACACGCAGATACAAAGTTTATAT